ATATTTCTTGTCAACCCAACTGCTTATGTATTAAGGTAATTTTCATTGTAATTCAGTGTACTGTTATTAAAAAATCCTAAATGCTTGATCGACTTCTTTACAACAAAAAAAGCCTATAGAGTATATCAAAAGTACTGATTTTCAAAGATAAGATCAAATAGGATGGAGATAATTAATTTTTTACTTTGATAAATATTTCATGTTAGTTATTGACATGTTTACTAATAGATATCTAGTTTAGGCTCGAATATAAATCATAAGTCACGTTCATCGAGACTCGATTCATCTGGTCCTAGATTGACAAGATAGAGATGTGCATCTAGATATAAAACGTGCATTAAGTAAAGTACTAATAGATAAATACAAAAGACGATTTGACATATAAGAGTAATTCGTTTCACAAAACAATTTTTTTCGTTATATAAAACTTGATCTTTATCTTTATGAAGAAAAAGCACCGATTTTGAGTATGCTACACTTCACTAATAAAATTCAGTTTATATGTGAAATGTTATTAATTCTTCAACAGAAATTTTGTCACTTTTTTTTGTCATTGCACCGCTGTAACTATATCCGTTTTTGTTCTTTAATACTATTCTCAGAACTTTATTTTTAATCTCAAATGATAATTGAGCGCAGTGATTAAAAACTTTTTTAATCATATATTGATATATATATACAGTGGCTGTTAAAATTATATAACTAGAAGCTAAACTTATTTTATTTTATGTACATTCGAAAAATTAGGTGAGCAACAATAATTGGTTTTCTATTAGATGATAACCTTTAGTTTCTAGTATATTAGTAAAAAATTTCATATCAATCTATTGATCCATTCAGATTTTATTAACAATACAACTGCAGCATATGGATTTTCATTCATTCGAAATCATCCAACCAGTTTTTTTTGCAAACTAATATGTGCTTATTCCACGTTGAGATTTTCTTTATGATATATAACTTAATATAACGACTTTTCATCGTAGCCTTCCTTTGAGTATTGATTTAAAAGCGATGTCTTTTCAACCTGCGCTAGAAATTTTCAACAATAGCATGACAAGAGCAAATTTTGTTTCATATGATGTTTAGCCACTCTATTGTTCAATATAGCATTAGCAAGAGTACTAGAAATTGCATGAGATATTCTATTCAAATTAATAATTATTATTAGAATATTGTGTTGGTCGTTTCGCATATATAGACCAATCACAGATAGACCTTCTCGTACGATCTCATTTACGTGTTGAAGAAGTTACAAAAGATTATTTGAAAAGCATGAATTGTAGGGAATCTTTATTCGTAGAAAACTATCATATTTGAAATTAAAGTCGATATATCATTTAATTTAGATATCTGGTTACGCTTTAAATAACAAGAATGAAAAGTTTACCCTAGTATCAGCAACAGTGTAATTGTAGATCTTATAAATAGATAGCTAGCATTTGCGCTTCACGTCTATATCGATAGAGGATGAAATTTAGAAGCGTGTTCGATGTTAAGATTACATTGATAAATCTTTGTTTGATTAAATACATATCCAGTCTATTGCTGGGTGTACGTTAAGCTTTTGACTCCTGCTATTTATAATGTAACAAAAGCATATAACTTAAGTGATATATTGACTTTGATTTCAAATATGATAGTTTTCTACGAATAAATGTTCCCTACAGTCCATGCTTTTAAAATAATTTTTTGTAGCTTCTTCAACACGTAAAAGAGGTTGTACGAGAAGGTCTATCTGTGATTGGTCTACATATGCGAAACGACCAACATAATATTCTAATAATAATTATTAATTTGAATAGAATATCTCGTGCAATTTCTAGTACTCTTGCTAATGCTATATTGAACAATAGAGTGGCTAAACATCATATGAAACTAAATTTTCTCTTGTCACGCTATTGATGAAAATTTCTAGTGCAGGTTGAAAAGACATCGCTTTCAAATTAATACTCAAAGGAAGGCTACGATGAAAATTACTTCTTATGTAGAGTGCAGTTCGTTATATTAAGTTATATATCATAAAGAAAATCTCAACGTGGAATAGACACACACTAGTTTGCAAAAAAAAAGGATTCGTGAATCATTTTAGAAGGCTAAAACGCGGCATGCTGCAATTATATTGTCAATAAAATCTAAATAGATCAATAGATTGATATGAAATTTTTTACTAATATACTAGAAACTGTAACTTGTAATCTGATAGAAAGTCAATTATTGTTGCTCATCTAATTTTTAAGATATACACAAAATAAAATTAGTCACAAATCTTTTAAAATTTTGACAGTTACTATTTATCCAATTGCTGAATTTCTATGGATGATGTAAGTCATAAAGAGTAGGTTATTGGCTTTTTGAGATTTCAGATGCTCTAAAGTTGAATATTTTAAATAAAAAAGTTGAAATTGAAAACTTTTCCATTTTTCATCATTCAGATTATTCTGTATCTTATTTATGTTTGAAATAAAATATATGTTTTATATAGTTATTTATTAAGAGAACATATAAATCAATCCAATTATTTTCCATTAGGTATAGTATTTGCCTTTTTTTTCTATTGAAAAAAAAGTTACATTATTCAAATAATGTGAGCATTGAACAATCGATCGAATCATTGAATGGTTGAATAACAATGGCTGCCACTCCTAAAAGCATCTCAGGCCGAAAAGACACGCGTGTAAACGACAGTAAATTATTGTATACTGATGTATTACATAGCTGGATATTACGATTGTAGTTCTCTGTATCACATGCAAGGAAATATGATGCTTATGAAGTTCGTAGACGAGTTCCATTTTACTAAGTGTCTCGCTGCAAACGATTATATGTCATCGTATTGTAAATAAAGAAATACGTTCGTAATACTCAGTCATATAATACATCAATATACATTCGTATACGATGAAATAAAGAGTCTGTATTGATTTTGTATTCTTCGTTCTGAGACAGTACTTCTCAGTTAATTTTTAATCCTTATGAGTAGGTGTCCTTTTTTTCTTATTCTACGCAGTCACTTGTACCATTATAGCCATATGATAACATTGTTACGAACAGATAAACATAAGTGAATTCCCATTTCTAGATTCTATCATTTCAGTCTACGGAAATTTTACAAATCCATCAGCAAATAATTACTCTTGCTCAAAAGTTTTTTCTAGACAAGATTATAATTATAATTGAAATAAGCACTTTACTGTAAGATACCAAAGATAAACTTCTTATATGAATTTAAAAAAACTATAATTATGTAAAAGATGTTTTCCCAGGTCAAACAATAAGATACAATCGGACGAAAAACCGTACATTCAGAGATTTTACACTAAATCGTACAATAAGATTCTCTATGATCTTATAGTGATATTTTACAAGGCAGGAAAATTTTTCAAGAATATTATAATACAACATAGAGTAAGATATATGACTATGATTTTTTGTAAGATTTCTGTATGATCTTAAAAGATCAGAAGTTCGATCTTGTAAGATGTTACCATTCTCATTGTTTAACCTGGACTATGCAACTCATTTTGCTAGCATGATTTACATTTAAACTTGAATTAAGTAAATTATTATGTTTACTGAAGTATTATTAGTTTTCGTTCAAAACATTCATTAAAAATTATATATATGCAAGAAGGTCTCAGAATTTTTTCTATCGATATCAATAGGAATATTTTGGAGAACTTTTCTTCGGCTCTTTTTTTTGAATTATTTTGGTTATAACAATAAACACAGTAATTATCAGTTGTTTAATGAATAAAGTTTATTAATTAGATAAAGCAGCTGAAAATTGTATAGAATTAGAATAATAGAAAAAGACGTTCTGATACAAAAAATATATTAACGAAAATACAATTGAACATTTTAATAATGATTTTGACTATTCTAAGGATTTACGGATGAAGTACATATATCTTCACATTTCATTGATAATTACTTCTAAGATAGTCTTGATATTACATCAGGAATTAGAAATCGACCATCTTTTCATATCTATTTTTTATAAGGTTATTTGAGTAACTATTTTAAGAAAAGATACGAAATATTATCAGAAGAATAACTAAGTCACACTGTAATTATTGGAGCTTCTTCGTTCGAACTTCTTCTAGTTCGAAGAATTTCAAAATTCACACCTAGTACTACTTCATATCCTTGTTATATTTTTTAATCGATTATGTTCAAAAAAATGTCATTGAGCAAAATAATTACTAATCATTGTATTGAATAATGCAAAAAACTTAATGGTTTTTTCTTTTTAATTAACAATGATTCGAAAAATACTTTTAATAAATGTTTTGAAAGATAATTGTTTATGCTTGAATAAACATCGGCTATTCACTTAAATATGTCTTGAAGAGAAAATTTGATTTTCTTAACCCTTCGATGTGTTACCTTCAAAGAATGAGTACTCTCAGTGTATTGAAAAGATCTGAAGATGATACTCAAATATTCAAGTATATTGTTAAAATACTCGATGATATTCATGCGCACGAGAGCATCTGTGACATCAAAAGAATAGTATTTTATTCTTGACTTCAGACAATCATTATATTAATAATTTAAAAATAAGATAATAATATTATTATTATGAGAAAGGAATTGTTTTCTTTTAAAGGTATAATTCTGAAAGAAGTGTGAAAAAGCTAAAAGCTAGTGAAATCTATAATTAATCTTACATCATTCTCTTGATCAAATCAGTTCATGTAACAAATTATTTTTTATCACTTTTTATTCAACATTATGTAAAAAAAACCTTTTATATAAAAGAAAATTAACTCAAACTTTCTTATCGATGACATTATTGAGAGAAACATAAAAGAGAAAAAATTGAAATTATTTACGGAAAACAAACGAGAATTTAAACGAACGAGTAATAATATATGGAAACACTGTTGTCTTCAAAGTTTAGATAGATCAATTTGTTTCTCAGGTTGTTTTGTTTACAAGTATATACTGTCTCATATGACTAGAGTGTCAGTTTTCTTCTGTTTTCTCTTGAATAATTAACTACTGTCACTTTCTTCAACGGTTGCAAATGGTATGGTTGGATTTGAATCAGCTTCTTCAAAAAATAATGTTAACCATTTTTTCTCTAAACATTCTTCTAATTGTCGACATGATGCAAGTAATTTTTGAGATTTTTGAAACCAATCATGATAAATAACACCTGCTGAATGCATACGATGACCTGCATCCGGTACTAATAAACGACAACGTAATAAATCTTTTACTTCTTCTGTTACACAACTAAATAGTTCATCTTGAAATAATTTTGGAATATTGTCCAGTTGTGGTAATATATCCATATCTTCATGAAATGGAAAATAGCCA